AAAAACCCCCCCCAAAAAAAAAAAAAAAAAAAAAATCCCAGGAGAGAAATGGAGAAGGGATTGCAATGTAGCCATCCCTCCAGGAGATGATTTGTCACTTTCCCTCTCTCTGCCTCTCCCCTGGGAGTGCACTCATCCTATGGGGGAAAGAAAAACCGCCAGGAAGAGGGCAAAAGACATATGTTTATTGAGGTAAAATTGATGTATACTAAACTGCGTGCATTTGAAAGTTGTAACTGATACATTTCAATGTGTATGTACGTGTGAAATCACTGTCACTATAAAGATAATAAAGATGTGAACACACCCCATCACCCCAAGAGCTTCCTCACGCTCCTTTGCAATCCCTCTTTGCTGTCTGTCCCAGCCCCAGACAGCTATTGATTTATTTTGTAACTACAGATGATTTTCATTTTCATTTTCTAGAACTTTTTCTTAGAGACTTTTTTTATTTATTTTATTTATTTTTTTGCCAAGAGGGTATGTGTGCTCACCAGAGAAAGAGAGAGAGTGAGAGAGTCCATTGGTGGACCATGTTCACCATGCAATCCCTTCTCTTTCATTTCTCCATCTTATCAGAATCCTGCTTTCCAAGCTGCCAGGCCCAGGAGTCAAACAATGTCAGCCATGTGGGCACTGGCTCCCTCAACCACTGAGCTGTGGGGTTGGCCCTAGAACTTTATATATACAAAATGATGCAGTATAGAATCTTTTAAAATTGACTTTGTGGAGCCAGCAGATGGTGTCAGTAGATTCCCATGTGGCTGACCGTGGTTTGAGTCCTGGACCTGGTGGCTTGAAACTCATACCAGGAACAGTGCGTGCATGCCCTAAATTTCAAGAAGAGAATGGAGGAGAAGGGATGGCAACATGGCCATTCCCCCGGGGGCGGGGAGGGGGGTGATTTCTCACTTTCTAGCTCTCTGTCCCTTTCTGTCTCTCCTGTGAGCACATGTGCCCTCTGGCAAAAATCTATCTCTAAAAAAATTTGTTTTTAAATTGACTTTGCTCAGCAATATTATTTCAAATTCCGCCCTTACAGTTGTGTGTCCAACAGTCCCTCCTTTCTGACTGAGAGCACGCCATATGTGGGCATACAGGAACTCGCTCGTTCGTGTGTGGATCGACCTTTGGGATGCTTCTAGGTTTGGCTATTACAAGAAAAGTTGCTATGAACATCTGAGCACAAATCTTTGTATGGAGGTAGCTTTCTTTCCTCGTGGGTAAATACCTAGTGTAGGAATGGCTAAATCCTACGGTGGGTGTGTAATTAAGAAACTACCATCCTATTTCCCAAGTGATTATATCATTTTACATCCCACCGGCAGGGGATGGGAGGTCCAGTCCTGTGACCCTCATAAAAGACAGGGGCCAGGTGGTGGCAAAGCGTTTAAATGTGAATTTCTGTGAATCCTACTGGAAAGGCTCCTGGTTCGAGTCCAGAGACCTCCCTGAATGTGCGAGGCTGAGCATGCTGTGGTTCGGGGCTGGGGCTGGGGCTGAGGACAGATTGCAGTATCAGAATCCTGGGGGGGTGCTTTCTCGCTCTCTCTCACTTGCTCATGGAAGAAATAAATAAAACGCTTCTACAAAAAACATCTCTTTTGCTCTTCCGCTGAAAATGAAGCAAAGGTCCTGAGGTTCTGAGACCTCAGTGACTTGGTCATTCAGTCCCCAAAGCCCCAGCTGTCCTGCACTGCTCGGGCCCACCAGTCCCCTGGCTGTCCTCTCTGCAGCTGTGACAGGAGCTTGTGCAGTGACGCCGTGCTGCACACAGGCGGCTGCTCTTGTCAACAACTCCTCCCGGGCAAGCCCGTGACCCATCGGCACTGCCCCCTCATCGTTCTCATCCTGAGAAGTCTCCAGTCTGCCTACCTCCTCAGACGTGGAGAACGTGGAAATCTGCTCACGGGGTGTCCCGGGTCCTCTCTTGCATACTTCTTCCCCTTTGCTGTTTAAGTCTTTTTTTCCCATTTTATTCATGACAGAGGAAGCATGTACCTGCACACGCATGACAGGGAGAGAGAGGGAATGCTCTTCGCGGGTCTTGTCACAGCACGGTCCCCTTTCCCCAGCCCTCCACTGACCATGGTCCTGGGCACATTGTGTGTTCAGGATCCGAACCTTCCCGTGGTCATGTGGCTTCCAGCACTGCAGCTCAGTTTGCCGTCAACTGCACCACCAGGCTGGGCCCGTTGCCCTTTTCCAGTTTGCCAGGCACCTTGGACGGTCCTGAATCCGACCACGCAAAGCCCAGGGGCTCCCGGAGCAGACGGGCAACAAAGCACTCCTGCCATCTTCCTGTGACCGGCCTTTACCTCAGAAACCTTTTCAACCTAATTTGTCCTGATGCTTTCCATGGGCTTCTGAAAACGTGGTGACTGAGAGAGCAAGTGGGGGATCCACAGGGAGCCCCACACTGGGGGGATTATTGTACTGATCGCTGCCCTCCGCCTCAGACCTGAAGGGTAGGGGAGCAAACTCCGAGGAATGAAGAAAACACCAGAATGTTGGACGTGTCTGTCCGGAAAACGTGGCGGACTTGCCGATGTGCAGGGGGCTTTTGAGCACCGAGCCAGGGCGGCAATCTGTCTTTTCACAGCCAGACCAGCCCGTGGTACTGGCTTTGGCCTTCTCTATGCCATTGACTGGCTCCCTGCTCCTGGGGAACTTTGTTCCGGTGTGTGTTCGTGTGTGTGTGTTTGTGTGTGTGTGTGTGTGTGTGTGTGTGTTTA